AGAGAGGGCAAGTTCTATCATGAGGAACATTTCAAATGAAACTTAAGGATATACTTCAGAGAAATAACGTGAACTAGCAAGCAGAGAGATGTAGTTCATCCCTGCAATGGTGCAGAAGCCAAAAGGAAGCTAGTATATAAGAAAAAACAATGGTATCTGACTGAGCAGGCAGTCCCCATGCTTTATTTTTGTTTCATAGACAACAGATGTTTTATGTAATACTCATATGACCACTGGAACAGTCTATCTTCAGATCAGTCATTGTATACTTGTTAAATAGCTCTATCCTTTTCATTTCCTTCAAGTAAAACACACATGGAGACCACAGATGATTATGTGACCCTTAAGATATCTAGAAGTAAGGTTTTCCAAAGGAAAATTTGCAATGAGTCAGACATCAAACTAACATCAAGATGAACAACTCTAAGAAGCACTCACTCTGGATGGGTTTAACTTTTCTCAAAATCAAGTCACTTATGTCAGTGCTTGCATGTGGCCCAAATTCTTCTACAAATGTGGTCCAGACTCTGTATGCTAAATTCCATTGAAATTCAGTCCTTGGTATGCATCTTCCCAAACCACCAAAAATAATAGGTTTGTAATAAGAAAAAAAAAATTGACCCAAGTACTTAGAAAAGGAAGTGCAGAATAAAAAACTTGGCCAAATTATTTTTCCAGGTATGTTTGAGGACTAAATCTGCTCATCATCTTTATACAAAGAGCCAAAGAGAATCAATTCTTGAAATGGTTGGTTTTCAGAACTGAGACCCAGCTAAAATGCTTTCACACTTGTATGCTGACATGAGGGTCTCTTGATCTGTGTAGTGACAGGTTTGCTCATAATGTTGAACACAACCACCAAAGTCATGGTGTCCTGTTTTATGCTAAGATGAAGAGGGCAGAAAGTTTGAACATGAACACTCAAAACTTTTTGGGGTGTTTTTCCAAGAGCAGATGTTTGCACTCCACGTTACATCAGACTGCAATACTGTTTCGACAGGTCACAAAATGTCCATATAGTAACACTACCCAAGCAGCTGTCATTATACATCCAGCATTATCTTTCAATATAGTTATGGGTATACAGAGCATTTGTATTATGCCAATTAATCAGTCGTTGTCACTATTTGGTTATCAAACAAACAATCTGGGAAATCTGAACCATTTGTACTCCCAGTGGTGCAGATTCCTCTCAATTTTTAGATAGGTGATCAGGTCCTTTGCTTCCTAATGCTCAGAAAGGACTTGGGACTTTTTTTTTTCCTCAGAAAAGAAAACACCGGATATAATTTTATACTGAATTTGCTCAGACTTCTGGAAACATCTGTTTCATACTAGGTATACCCAAGATGACTGGTATTAAAATAATCACTCCAGTTTTACTTTGTGTAAAACTTGTTATATGATGACTATGCTTACAGCTTTGAATGTCAATCTTCATGATGAAGGAATATATCATCTGCTAAACCATATAGGAAAACATCATGTTCATATAACGTGTATAGCAGTACTTTTGATTCATTAGCCTTACTCAGTAAAACACAGTGGCAAGGCTATATTCAGTTTTGTTCCCATTCACCTGAAACAGAATCACCATGCTGCATCACTCTTGAAGAACAAGGACATATATTTATGGGGGGAAAACCAACATAAACTCGCATGCTAACCAAGAGTGATTTTACTGCAATGAGGGTGTATTTTAAAATGTTTGGGACTGAATCTTCTCACTAGCGGAGGAAAGCTAAAAAACTTTTTTTTCAAATGACATTTATGTCATTAAATGTGGGTATGAGTGAATATGCAGGGCAGGTAGATAGCCCTTTATCAGAAGACAGGTTCAAGCACACATTCTGTTAGTTCCAGCTTCTCCAACATGGCCTCATCCATCTACTTCTTTTGTGACATCTAAAAATATAAGTTTTAGTCTCCATTCTTAGTGGGTCATTACTCTCTCTGTGGATACTGGAAATAAAGACAATCACGTATGGCTAATCGTGGCAGGTATCAGATGACAGAATCTGTACATCCCAGTGGGGACTCAAGGGCAGGAAGAGAAATGAAGGTCTTTGGATTATGAACCCATCAGTGGTAATCAACAGAGCATTTCAAAATGAGAGATTACATTTTCACTGACAAAGATTATCTTGCCACAGGAAAACAAACAGGTGTTAGGTGTTCTTCTATAGGTACAGTGTGCATTTAATTTACAAAAAGAAAATTCAATTTTGACAACCAGGGATAAAAAAGTACTTCCTGTTGATCTCACAGTACACTACTAAAGCCATGCCCTGACTTAAAATTCTCTAATGAAATAACAAAGACATGTTTATTGCTATACAAACAAAGAAGAAAAATTCCTTGGCTTTGTCTTCACTAAGATACCGCTGTGTACCAAATTCTGCTAGGAGCAACAAACTGAGCGTTGTGTCAGGTTCTTTGATGTCCCCTAAAAACTACTGCTTTTAGTATACAAAGCCTGAAAGCTGAGTGATAGGGATGATAGCAAAAGAAGAAAAGAAGGAATATTGTCCTTTTCTGACCTTCTACTGTTTGATGACCAGATGACAGAGGGTTTGTAGGAAACACTATGGTTATATGTAATGAAGGGGAATGTCTGACGTAAGAAGAGTTCCTCCTTGAAAGAGTTTGTAATGGCTGCACATTCATTCATGACATTTAAAGGTGGTTTTCGACCAGTGCTTCAGGACAAACTTCATGAATGTTTCTTCATGACTGAAGAAACAGTCATCACTGAGCTAAACTGGATTTGAACAGTTTGGAAGGCACAATCCTTCCAGGCTAGCAGCTATGCTAGATTCACCTCCGCTCATGTTAGCATGAGTGAGAGTTTATTCCAAGTACTGTATTACAAAACCCTTCCCAAATCATATCTAGCCTATCTCACTCTTTCAAATGCCACCAGAAATTAGATGCATGTCCAATTTCTATTAGACAGGTTGCACTGATAGCTAAAAATCACTGTTATGATGTGAAGAAAGACAATTTTACATTTTTTCCAGCATATACATACCATTAGAGATCAAGTCTGAAAGATGTGAAGGAGTCTACAGAGTTAGTAATTTGAACTTCTCCCACTGACTGGGTGCCAAACTCTTCCTGTAATTCCAGACTAAATAACACGCAGCAAAACAACATGAGGTGAATTTGGTCAATACTTTCATTTTAATGTTCTCCTTTTCACAGAAACAAGAGGTCTTTGAGGTTTTAAAATTTTTCACAACCTAAACTGATCTTAAGATACTTAGGAAGTCAGTCACATTTGCACAAATCCCACCTTTTTATAAGGAAACTGTCATTGTGATAAACCTTATTTTAATCAGAATACTTCAGCCCACGGCATACAGAGATACAGCCCAAAGATGGTCCTGAAATGAAAGTAAACCATCGTCCGAACTTACTGGAGCACTGATGCATTATTCCAGGACCAGCTTGAAAGGCCACGAAAATAAGAAGAATCAGACTCAGACCTTTATTTTTTCATTGTTAGCTAGCTTCATTTTTGGTTTTCCTTTTCCCCCCTCTTTCTTCCATATGTGTGTTCATGTGTGTTTGGCTATTATAAGCACTTTATCAATACTGATGCTGCTCCTCAAAATTCATTTCAGAAGGATGACTTTTATGGCTCCCATGATTCTTAAGCTGCCTATGGGATTTGTAACTCACAGAATCAGAAACTAACACACAGACAGTGTAGCTTTTCATACAAAGGCACAATAGGAATGAATGTATTAACCTCTGTGGTGCATGGAATGTGTCAGCTTACACACTGGCAGCTATTTCTGTGCAACTCAGCTAACTTCCGCTGGCTGTGTTAAAATAAAAAAAAAAATAATAAAAAAAAAATCTTCCCCAGAACTCTGTCCCACGCTTTCATATGCTGGCCAAACAACTGAAATATCTGATGTTGTAGAGAGCCTACTTCATACTGATGCTGGACAAACTGAGTTCAAGAGTGCATTTTACACATACTGCTTATAAATGCTGACCTCTTCCAAGCAGGTATAAAGCTCTGCTTTTCCATGTGACTTGGCAAATAATAATGACTGTGGAGATGAATTAGCAATGGAGAGTATGGGATTTTTTTTTGTTTCTACAGAAGAGTGTCAATACATATTTTGCAGAACTAGAGATGATTTGGATCTTCATTTCATTTTGGTTCCAAATTTTACCCAGCTTTATGCTACCAGTAAAGCATACATGGCAGGTAACAAAATTCAAACTGTGGAGATGGACATCACATTTGCTTAATTCCAATGACTTGACAAGGGGTTTGGGGCTGATCAGGGATACCTGAGGAACACCTGCACTGCTATCATTAAGACCCATGAACACCCTAATACCTCTAAAATTTAGAATGATATTGGTAGTTTTGAATCAGATACATCTGGCTACCAGGGCAACACTTTAATGTAACTCAAAAAAAATTCTTTACTGTTTTTCCACCTGTTTTCTAATTGCTTATGTAAAATTAGTATGGTGACTAATTATCTACACTATGGCAGTGCCTAAAATGTGCTGGGTACCATAAAACACTGTAGGAGGGGCCTCTGAAGAGCTTACAGCCTAAAAGGACATAATCACATTAAGCAACTTTTAAACAGTTTAAAAGTGCTTGTCAGGACAGAGCTTTTCTGCCCAGCAATGTGCTTCCTTTTTCTGGTTTATACCTAGCCAGCCTTTACAGCTTGTTCCAGCACTATCTGATGGTAAAGACAAGCAAACTTACTGCTCTGCAGAAACTTAAAGTACAAATCTAAAAGCAGCTAATTTGACAGTAAAGACTCAAAAATGTAACAAGAAGTTCTCTCAAGATAGAAGGAAAATGTATATGATTTGATGATTATTTTGCTTCAGATGCAAATTTTATGTGAAGAGAACAGACCAAAACCCCTGTTAATTGCATTGTGTCCAAATGGAAGAGAAAACTGTTTTTCATATTTACTTAACCTCTGACTCTTCCGCATTGTTTTCGGACTTACCTGCAGTTGGAGTGGGCCTAAGCCTGGTGTTGCTGCGGCAGCAGCTGCCATGGTAGTTGGGATCAGCTGAACGGGGTAAGGGTCACCTAAGTAAGAGAATAATAGAGGCGTCAGCACCTTTTATCTACTCTCCACCTGCAAATTAAAGTCCTGCATTCACTCTTTCCAAAAGCCTTCTTTTGTGTGCCTTGTTGAGGCCTAATGAAAAGCTCTATTGTGCAGCCTTTTACTAACACTCTTTTCACAATTCTGGCTGAGAGAGGAATGTGAATAAAAGGCACAAGCAATTAAGGCGGAAACCTCATCCTTTTTCATGATGTATTTAGGGAAATGGAAAAAAAAAGTGCACATTGATCAGAAGGCTGCACTTCAAAAAAAAAAAAAAAAAAAAAGGAAAGAAAGAAGATGGGGGTGGAGGAGAAGAAAAGGAAAACAGTACAACCTTGATAAGATCACAGCATTAGAAGGGGACAAATTTACAAGCTTGTCCAGAATATGAAGTTAACCAAACTCTGCTCACTGTTAGTAAACTGAGCCTCATACAGATCAGAAATGGCACTCCCTTGACTACTGTGTTTTCTTTTAGGTGAGAAAAAACCCCGTTGCTTTAGTTTCAGGGTTTGAGTCTACAACAGGAAAAAGCACGTGAAGTTAAGCAAAACAGATGCAAGCCTCTGAAAGCCCTGAGCCAACTCCATGACTTGTGATTCAATTCTGCTTCAGTTTTAGTAAGAACTGCATTGTGCTGAATGAGATAAAGGGACCCACTGAAGGTTTAAGAAAAAGTTGCAGGTGTTTAAAAAGGAAAATTACCTGAGATGGCAAAAATCAAGGTGGACACAGGTATGTTTTAACGTTATGGACCGCTCACTTTCTGTCACTCCTTACATGATCTGATTTGTTAAACAAACCTATTAGCCCATCAAAACTATTCAGAAAACTGATAAAAAAAAATGTTACATACATTATATTGTTTCTCCAAATGCTAAAATGTTTAAGCGCTTTCCACTCAAATAAGAATCACCAAAGCATTTCTGTATGTCCCTATGTTCTGGCAGTGTGAATGATTTCTGTAGCATTAAAAAAGTCAATTGAAATGAGACTATGGAAAAGGCAGAACACTATCAGGAAAATCTACCTAAATGTTCCTGTATATTTCATTAGGGAGGCAGATTAAAAATTTTCCTCCTTTATTGTGCTTTTTTGAGTGAACTGGGGAAAAAAAAAAAAAGACAAGAAAGCAATGCAGACTGATGTGTACAATCATTATTAGTTATTATTGAAGTTTATAATGGTATCATGCCTAAGTTACAGGAAACAGAAAGCAAAGGAAAACAAATTCATCTCATGTTTTTGAACTGTTAGAAATAAGATATGTTTAGAAATAACTCCTAATGCTAATGTTTACTTTCCCCTTTTATAAATAATGCAACCTTCTTTACGGAGGTATTTTCATTCAAGCATTTTGATCTACTGTTAAGAATTAAATACTCTAATTTTTAGAAATGGAAAAAACTGGGCAGGCAAGGCATCTTAACAGATATTTAACTTCAATAAGCGTGCCTGATTATATTTAAGAATATCTTACTGCTTTGCTGATCGCAGCCTCACAGTCTTATTCAGGCCAGCCAGCCAAGCAATGGGAATCCAAAGGTCCACCCAGGCATCCCCATTCATGAATGTCTGCACCAGCACTAGGCCACATCTTTTCTATTTATTTATTTATTGTAAATGGGCAACAGATTTCTTGACTTGCTTGTTTTTTTTTTTTTTTTTTTTGTTCTTCCCCCAGAGGATACCATTGTTTCACGTGTTCCAATTTTACTTTGCTTTCTGTTTCATATCATGGATTGAATTAAAAATTTCTCTGACTTAAAATCTTCTGGAGCTTTATCTTGTGACCCAAGCACTGGGCATTGAACATGTGAAGACACGGAAAAGAAACAGACAGTAGTCAAAGACTCAAGATCAGTGGTGTTGCTGCTTCCACACCACTAGTTCAAAGGCTAATCCCAGTATCATTCTGAAAGACTTGTCTCTAGAAGAGGACATTTTGTTCAAGAACCAGCCATGAAAGAATATAAAATTATTAATTTCTCAACTGCAAAGAAAAGAACAAGGGAAAAATTCCTCATTAGAATATTGATTTTACAGACCATGAAAATGTGTAGTTATGAATAATTTGCATTAAAACAGACATAGTAAAAGATTAACTTCCGTGCGCTGTTCCACATTCCCCTTCTCTCTACACACATGTATAAGCCTCAGCCCACCTTCCCACAACCTCATGCTAATTCATAAATCCCACTATTCTCACCTTCCTAAACAGCCAGGCAGATTCTCATACCCTCATCTGTTGTGGTTATTCCTATCCTTTATAGTTCATGTGGTAGACGTATCAAGGAGATGCTTGTGACAAAAGAGCATACTGAAGTCCCCATGGCCATGTGAATACCCCATAGCCATGTCCATGATCACAACCACTGGCTTCGGTAGTGTAGGTAATGCCTCTGGGACTCTAGGAGACCATGCTAGAAAGGAAGTACTACACCAATACATGCTAATGTAGTTTTTCAGAATTCTAAGGAAAAAACCTCAAATTCATCCGAAAAAAACAGATTATGGCTATGCAGAGCTAGACTCTCCTGTCTACCAGGGTTTTTTTTTTGTTAGTTCACTCTTCAAAGGGTTTTATATTTTTCCAGTGCTCCAAAAAAATTTTTAACAAGCAAAACCAACAAACAAATCTGAAAGGCTTCTATAACCTGTCATGAATCTCTGCATTGCTATACTTTGGTAATACCTGCTACTATCTTGTGCTTATCGTAGGGGTTTAGCAACTCTTTTTATGAAGAAAAGTACACCCCACCTGTGCTACGACTCTTTCGCAAGTGCTCCTCACACACCATATATCCACATTACTGCTCCCACTGTACAGACACGGTAGCAGCAAAGAAGTTGGAGGAAGGTACAATAATAAGCAGAGACACGATCGGGGTTAGCGGTCCACCGTGTTTGCCCTGGCACAAATGTCAAACAAAAGATTGCCTCTGTTTGGAGGAGCTCACTGTTCACAGAAGACAAAACATGAAAGAGCAAGAAATATGCTCAAACACTCTTGCCATGCCCTGGGTCACTCAACAGGCCAGCGGGAAAGCCAAGATTAAAACCCACAGACAACCCTTCAGACAGTGCCCTTCCCAGGGAAGGATCCAGGCCCTGTATCAGTGAGGAGGCCAATCACTTACATACTCAAATCACACGGTGCAGGGGCAACTGCCACTCCTCAAAATACTAACAAAGGCCTCAAGTCTCCTCTGATAAATATCGGCCTCTCATTCTTTGCTGTTACTTTAGAACATGATACATCTTTCTGCTGTCCTTATATTTATTTGTGTATCAGACTGAAGGTTTTGCCAGACTAGTTTTAGTTAATTCTGAAGTCTGGAAAATGCATGTCTTAATTATTTCATTTCTTCTTCAGTAAATACCTTATTTTAAATATAAAAAATTGTTTCATTTTTTTCCCAAGCACTGGGAACATTTCAGGAATGCGAGGCAAGGTAGAGAGTTATTAGAAATAGGTATTCCCCAAGCCATTCACAAGTCTGAATCACTGAAAACACCAATCAATTCTTAAACAACAATATTGCATTTCACTTTACAAAATTCACCATTAATCTACTAACGCACACAGGCAGGAGTGTCCCCGCATCTTTCAGCTACCAAGAGAAACATTTTGTGCAGTCCTTTCATGTTCCAAACTGTCTCTCATTATGTGTGGACTTTTCTTATAAACAAAGCATCAGAGAGAAGTTTTGTTGTTGTTGCTTCTCTTTAGTATACTGTATGGTAAAATCTGGAGTAGGTCAAAGGCTTGGATTTTTATTGTGAGAACAAGGTAAAAATTGTTTTCGTAGCTGACATACTCTTCTCTAATATATAATTATTTCCCAGCTACTCAGTGGCATCACTTTGAAGACCAGAATTATTCAGTACTGACTACACGGGAAGAGCACAGAAAGACATGTGTACTGGTGATACAGCACCTGAAGAAGTGAATGGGGTATGTCAGCCTGGGGGAGCTGATGGGGTGTATTAGAGGTGTTGGTGCACACTGTGAGGAGAGGAGAATACCGGTGGCTCAGGGAAGAAAGAACGTAATGCCGAACCCTCAATTGTGTGCCAATTCTGTACTTCTCTATCCTTCTTTTGGTCCGTCTTCCACAAACATACCCAGAACCTCTTTCCTGATAATTTATGCACTGCAATTTCTTTCAATTTCAAATCACACCTTCATCCTTGCCCAAAATAATCTTCCAAGATCTTGCTTACAAGAGGATTTTTCATGAAGTACATTCACTTTTAAACTACTCTTTCTATGAACTCTCCCTATCATCCTCCACTGAAAACACTTTTCTGCGAAAGTAAGTTGTGGTACTGAGCCAAGTGGACATCCTGTCCCAAAATGCAAAATAACAACCCTGTGTTTAGGAACTTGATTTTCAACTGACTAGCTACCAAGCTCATGGATATTAAATGGTTGTATACTTGTGGAAATACAACACTGGCTCTTAAACCATTTATATGTTTTGCAAAATTTTATCAAAGGATTTCAGTAAGTTAAAAAACATTAAGACTTTTTTTTAAAGAGAAAGGAAAGCATAGGAGCTAATATTATGTGTGTTGCACCATTCACTTAAACTCGTAATATTTTTTTGTATTCCTTTTTCTGTCACTCATCTCATTTATTCTCCTTCATGGTGTAATCCCTGCTAGTGTCTTTGTCTTGTCTCCTGACGTGCCACAAGCTCTTCAGAGCAGGCACAATTGTCTTGCTATATAAATCAAGTTATGTGCTAATGTTAAATTATAATGTTTTGACAGTATTTTTATGTTGAACCTGATTATATGAAACAATAGAACTGTGATTTTTTTCCTGAAATTTTCTTCTTAAAAAAAAAAAAAAATACCAGAAGAGAAGTAGGGGGTTTATTTCTCATTACTTTTTTTAAACTCATTGCTTTCCTCCTACCGGTCTTTCAGGGACAGCAAGTGAAAAAAGTTGGAGGCCATGGAAGGAGAA